GTGTGTGTGTGTGTGTGTGTGTGTGTGTGTGTGTGTGTGTACCTGCGGCAGACTGAAGGCGATGGTTCCAGCAGCAACAGTATGGTGGGTCTTGACCGTAAACACATACTTGTGATTTGGGGTGGTTTTCACCGTCACATGTCTGCAAGGATTGGTCACGACACCTGGTTATTGCATGCTCACTCACGTGTTTGGAGGCTGACAGCAGGTGATGGACAGATTGGTAGCATAAGACATTTTTTAGCCACTTTACAAATCTAATCTCAGCTTTTCCTCTTTTGGTTTGTTCACAAAATGCTAAATTCAAGCTAGAAAAAATTTGAAGAAATTCAAACACAGTCCAAGGTTTTCAACTTTGTTCTGTAGCTCAGTAGGACTTTGGACTTCTGCACATTTGTAATAATCTATAAACTGACCAAATAGAGATGTCTTGATGTACAAACTGTAGAAGTGTTAAAGCTGTCGGTGATTCAGTGATTGATCGGTGTGTGTGATTAGATTTGTGCAGAGGTGCATGGTGTGTGYGTCGATGATGATTACTCACTGTCCTGACTGCAGATCTTTTTCATTCACGACGGCACAGTTAGTCAGCGACAGCTCATCTGTCGGGCATCGCGCCGCCTGCATGGTCTGCAGAAAGAGAAGAGAAGGGAAGGAGAACGTTAGCAACACTTTAGAATGGTTACAATTAAAACCTAATTACAAGCTTTTCACATGTTAATATCAAGAAGCAACATACAATAACCAAAAACTCAACATGTCCACTGATCAACATTTTAGAACATTTGTAAGCAACAGAATATTATGGGTTTTTTTTTTTTGTTGTTTTTGTTCTTTTTTTTTTGACTGAGTAGCTTGTTTCACCAGGAAAAGACCTCTTTACAGCTACAGCAAATTGTTTTTCAYCCGGGGTCTAACAACAGAGTCAGATTTGTTTTTTTGCAACTTTTGTACAAAATGTTCATGACTCATCATCTTTATGTTTACACTAGCAGAAAAAAAGGGCTGCTTCTGCAGCAAACTGAACACTGAGTGAAGAGTTTTCACCACTAAATCATCTCTGATCTCCAAAAGAGTCCAGAACCTTTCAGCATCACTAAAGGAAGTGATGTTACAAATATGTGGTTTGGTACATGGTTTTATCAGCTGAGATGATGGAATAACAATAAATGTCTTTAATAATTGACATTTAGCATTAAAAAAAGCACCAAAAAGCTTTTGTGCATTTGTCTCACTTTTCAATATAGCAATCTTGTAAATCATGTGAGCCTTATCTGTCAGAGTCCTCTGTTTTAGTAGACCCAGGACAACAAGATTCATCTGGTCTTTCTTATTACACTGTCAGGTAATCTGATATCAAGATAAACACAACAATATATATACGTATATATATTTGCAGTACAAGCAGCTCTGCACCATGAGTGAAATTCCAATACAYGACTGTGACCTGAGCCTCTGATGGGGTAATCATGGTAACACTACAACCCATGGTGCCAGAGCTTCTGACAATAAATGTTTTTTCTGACAGTTCAGAAGGGGTTAGAATGAATGACACAAAGAGGAAGCAGAGATATAACACTGATGGGCTTGTTTCCTTTTATTGTAAAGAGGTTTAGTTAAGGCTGCAGCAGCACACATACTGATGAATCTGAATAGCTAAAGTTAAAGATGATAGTATTTTACCAGTATATATTTTGCACAAAGCAGCACTGAAATGAGACTTTCAGATAGAGAAGAAGAGTTTGAAATAAAGAACCACAGTTGTATGGCAGGCTGGTGAATATTTCATTAGTTACAGACTTTGGTAAATGAGAACAAACTATGATCATTTGAATTTAATCATTTTAAATATTCTTACACACTGTTCTAACAGAGTAATGGTCAAATCTTATCCCGATTTCAAACCCAGGACCTTTTTGACTTTTCATCCACAGCAGCTGACGTTTTGTACCTACTGGGCAGAAATATACAAACTTAAATATGATGTAAAACACTTGTGTCAGGCTCCTTGTTGTTCAGGAGACAACAAGGAGAATCGATGGCTCTGAATGACTGCGATGACCAGGATGGAGAGATTCTACCCTGGACAGCATAAGAACGTGTTCAACCAAGGCATAACTAAACTAAGCAGTTGCTTAGGACCCCGCGGCCACTAGGGGGCCCTGCGATAGAAGCATGGTAAATTGAACTGACTGGATCACTTATTTGGATCGATCAGCAGCCACACAAATGTGCTGAAATACTGACCGACAATGACTCTGACAAATCACTCATCTTCACTGATTGGCCCACTTTGTAGTTCACTGGGGTTCTGCCCTGCTGTGATCTGCCCAGTAGAATCTCTTCGGGCCTGTGTTGTTGTTGTTTTTTTCTTTAGACCTTCCGAGTTTCTTCCTTATTGATGTTTTTCTGGATTGCAAAGCCTTCACAGGGGGTAAGTCACTGTTCTGTACTTAGTTTAAAATTGTCACAGGGTTTTTGCCAATCTTTAACAGTGGTTTTTGACCGAAGGTTTGTCTTGATTGCATGATACTGTGTTACAGTTTTCTGTTGCACACGGAGTAGTTAATGCTAATGGAGGTGGTGGACAGGTGCAGCAGTTCAAAGCTTTGTGKAAAATCATCTGAATGTACTCAACATAGTTTGCTACATCTTTCACTTTCAAGATACTTCATGGAAAACTAAGTAATATATGGGGTGTAGATCCATCCAGGACATGACAAATTCACACAAATAAAAACAGACAACTGGACCTGTCTTTGATACGTATCAGACAGTTGCTCAGCTAAATTCACATGTAGATTTAACTCTCTCTTCCCAACAGAGGGGCAATATAAATATTATATACGCCTACATAAATTTTGTAGTAGCTGTCAGTTAAATAAATACATAACTAATACAACATAATAATATAAAATCACTGTTGCAAGGGGAGCAACACTCAAATAATTTGCTGGATGTTGAAGCAGAGGATGAAAGCTTGGGGCCTTCAAATGTCTAGGGCCGGCCCTGGATGTGTTCCACTGCTGTCTGTTTGTGACAAATTTACAAAACAGCCCTTTTCCTTGGTTAACAATAGTAACACAAGATTTTACTCCTCCACCCATCCTATCATCAACTGAAAATAATCATCCACCCTGACAACCTGTCTGTGATGATTCTGTGTGGCATGTGCTGCAGTGGGAAAACTTATCAGGATTTATTCCTCCACAGGTTCTCCTTAAGTGGGAAGAGTCAACAAAAACAAGATCAGCTCAAACTACATAGARAGATCTCTCATCTCACATCCTGTTGGAGCATAGTGAACACTTCAGAACACATTTTAATGAGCTGCCAGATGGCCTGAACCACAATAAAACATTTTATAATAAATATGGTAAAAGTGAAAATCCTGCCACAGCTTCCAGCAGCAGTTGAAGATTTTCAGGAGAAATGTGACTTAACCTTGTATACCTTCCCTTCTACTCACTGTGTTTGTTTTCTGTAAACTCTCAGAACCACCTGAGCCAAAGCTGAAGCCTCTGTAGTCAAGTTGCCATGAGAAAAAAATATCCTAGATCTTTTCGAATCACAACAGATGTCAGGAAAAAAGWATTAACGTTTCCTGCTGAATGCACCATTCAGATTTCTGCTCAATTTGTGCATAAAGTTTAAAACATCTACAAGAAAATAAAATGAAACAAAAAAATCCTTATTCTGTTGATATAACAATGAGTGACTACAGGTGTCAAACTATTTAGGGTTTTTAACATTATGGTGTAAAATAAGAAATCAGGACAGACATTTGGAGGATTCTTCAGATGTCAGAGGGTATCTGCAGAAAGGAACTGGTAAATAAAGTGAGACAAATACTGCAGTGTTGGCAGGATGCCCACCTCACCGGCCCACCTGAAGTCTGGACACACATGAGGAATATAAAAATACACCAAGGCCAGTTCCTCACCATAAATATCAACTTTTGATGTCTGGGTTTGATGCTGGAATTCTGTACCTGAAAGAATATTTGTCTTATGGAGCCCACGAGGGGACATGGGAGATTTTTTTTCTTTTGCTTTCCCACGCAATAGTATTGCATTACCTTGCAATACCTTTGGCGTTCCCTCGCAAAAGTAGTTTATCACTGTTGTGCCTGCCCGTTTATTAACAAATTCACATTTACCATTAGCGAGTTAGCCTACAACTTTAATTCAGCTTCAGAATGAATATATCACACAGCCACGCATGGACGTATGTCATATGCCGATATTTTAACACAGTACAGCCACGTAACGTCAATGTCAATTTCACGAACTTGTGGCGACACATCCTGTTTTGGTAACCGGATACTTCAAAATAAAAGTCTGGTTTAATTCAGTTCATATACAAAACATACTTTTGCRTGGGAACGCAAAACAATTTTGCAAGGGAATGCAAACGTTTGCGAGGTAACGCAAAAAGTTTTGCGAGGTAAAGCAAAGATATTGCAAAGTAACGCAAAAGTATCGCGAGGTAACGCAATAGTATTGCGTGGGAACGCAAAAGAAAAAAATCTCCCATGTCCACGTGTGTGCTCCATTTTGTCTCTATCATCAAAATAAATAAATAAATAAAATACAATGATCAGCAAAAAGAAACTAACAATGCTGCCTGCAAATTGTGATGTTTAATTTTGTAAAAAATAAATTTGAAAAGTCTGATTAATAAATTGTAAGAGGGGAGAACAAGACCAGACTAAGCACWGTTTCACTTTCAAAACAGTTATTTGATTAGAGAAAGGTTGGTCCATGAATATTTAATCCTAAAAGCTTACCTTTTGTTGTAAACCTTAAAAAAGTGCATCATTTGCCGCTAAATGCTCTGTTTTGTCCAGCTTAAAACAAGTGGTGTCTTTTTGTACTTATTCATCTGTTTTCAGCCAACACTTATTCTATTTGTTCCTAACTTGYTACTGAAATGATAAAAACTTTGTTAATTCTGCTATTAGAGCACTTCAAGGGCCACACTTTACATCATTACTGGCTTGGGAGTGCGTCGAAGCAGTCAACCAACTGGGGAGAGATGACAGTGTTACTGTTAAATGGGTACCAGAACATACTGGCATTAATGGTAGCAAGAGAGCTGACTAGGGATGCACAATATATCACAAATTTATCATTATCACAATAACAGCCAGTGCAATATGCATATCACAAAAAATGCTTAAATTGCAATAAATGATTGGCTCTTATGCTTGCATTTATGTTGTTTGTCAACATCAGTCTGATAAACAAAATGGACCAGAGAAACAACATCAAATCATAATCACTCCATCATATTGTAATGGAAATTATGTCTGAACCCAGAGCAGAAAAACATCAACACTGTATATATATATTTTCTAATCGCAAGTCATATCGTCATCGCAATATTAAACACTGTTACCCCCAATTTACACTGCTTGCGTTCCATCTCCGCTCCGGTCCGACCTCCACAGTAAATACACACCCATTATAATCAATGAGAGTGTTTACACTGGCAGCGCAGGGCGGCGGTGAGCGGACGGCGATCCCTCAAAATTAGAACAGATCCTATTTTTGCCGGACGCCGGAGCTGCGCCGGAGTCAATTTTTAAAGATTACGTCGCACCAACAGGAAAAGGCACGAGCACAACA